GCCCCCAGCCTGAGTAAGGACCTGGGGGAGGCGAGGATCATGAAGAGGTGCTGCATGCTGCGGGTGCAGAGCTGGCCCAGCAGAGCCCGGGTGGTGGCCAGGAGGGAGCCCACATGGGCACTGGTCTGGCCCTGCAGCACTGGGGGGGCCAGCTGGAACTGGCTGATGGCCACGATGTCGGCTTCTTCCTCCCTCTCCACCAGACGCTGGGACAGGAACAGCTCCAGCTGCAGGGGGGGAACTCAGGGATCAATGCCTCACCCAGCTCCAGCTGTGGGGACAGGGCAGGGGGACACTCAGGTATCACTGTCCCTGCAGTGGCATGGTGGCAGAGCCCCTCACCCAGCTCCAGCTGTGGGGACAGGGCAGGGGGACACTCAGGTATCACTGTCCCTGCAGTGGCATGGTGGCAGAGCCCCTCACCCAGCTCCAGCTGTGGGGACAGGGCAGGGGGACACTCAGGTATCACTGTCCCTGCAGTGGCATGGTGGCAGAGCCCCTCACCCAGCTCCAGCTGTGGGGACAGGGCAGGGGGACACTCAGGTATCACTGTCCCTGCAGTGGCATGGTGGCAGAGCCCCTCACCCAGCTCCAGCTGTGGGGACAGGGCAGGGGGACACTCAGGTATCACTGTCCCTGCAGTGGCATGGTGGCAGAGCCCCTCACCCAGCTCCAGCTGTGGGGACAGGGCAGGGGGACACTCAGGTATCACTGTCCCTGCAGTGGCATGGTGGCAGAGCCCCTCACCCAGCTCCAGCTGTGGGGACAGGGCAGGGGGACACTCAGGTATCACTGTCCCTGCAGTGGCATGGTGACAGAGCCCCTCACCCAGCTCCAGCTGTGGGGACAGGGCAGGGGGACACTCAGGTATCACTGTCCCTGCAGTGGCATGGTGACAGAGCCCCTCACCCAGCTCCAGCTGCGGGGACAGGGCAGGGGGACACTCAGGTATCACTGTCCCTGCAGTGGCATGGTGACAGAGCCCCTCACCCAGCTCCAGCTGCGGGGACAGGGCAGGGGGACACTCAGGTATCACTGTCCCTGCAGTGGCATGGTGACAGAGCCCCTCACCCAGCTCCAGCCCGTGGCATGGTGACAGAGCCCCTCACCCAGCTCCAGCTGCGGGGACAGGGCAGGGGGACACTCAGGTATCACTGTCCCTGCAGTGGCATGGTGACAGAGCCCCTCACCCAGCTCCAGCTGCGGGGACAGGGCAGGGGGACACTCAGGTATCACTGTCCCTGCAGTGGCATGGTGACAGAGCCCCTCACCCAGCTCCAGCCCCCGTGTTGGACTCACCTCCATGAGCTCATCGATGAACTGGCTCCGGGTCTCGGTGTTCTCCAGGAGGGTCAGAGCATCAGAGCCACAAGCGACTCCCTCGGGCACTGGGGGATGGGCTGGGGGTAAGTGGGGCAGGGAAGGGGTCTCCACAGCTTGGGACAATCTGGTCATACCCCCCACAGGGTGCTCAGCACCACCCCACAGCACCCTGGAGTGGGGTCCCCAAAAGGTCTTTGTGCAGAGACAGGGTGCCCAGGGGGAGTGTGGGCAGGGAAGGGGGAGTGCAGGCAGGGAAGGGGGAGTGCAGGCAGGGTGGGTGCTGCCTGCCCCCCGTTGGGACCCCCCCGTGTCCCTTGGCAGCCGTGCTCACCCTCAGTGCCAGCCTCTCTGCACCTCCTGGCTTTCACCATCACCCCAATCAATGCCATCACCCTGCTGCAAAAGGAAGGGTGCTCTGTGAGATGGGGGTGCCTGGGACACCCCCAAGTCCCCAGCCCAGCCCTGGAGCAAGGTCAGACCCCAGGACCACCCAGTCAGGGGTCACACACCTGAGGATCAGGCTCTACTGTGATCCCCCAGTCGATCTCTTCCCCCTGGGCTCCCCCGTGGGCAGCGGCACCATCACCCACCCTGGTGGGCTCCAGAGTGAAGTCTCCCCAGTCAATCTGTGG